GCGTCTTAAAGAAAGCAGGACGTGAGGTTAGTTTTCAAAGTTTTCTAGCGATAATTCACGTGTTTTTGCCAGAAAAATCAAAGTATTATATTAGTAACATGTTCTTCACGAATGTCTTTGACTTTTTTTGTCTGTTTTCATTCAATTCTACCTTCTACAGCCATGGCAACTCATGAAAGCGCTGGCGAAGGCACGAAAAGGTATGAATGAAAAGTGGAATGCTGTATGGACATCTTTCTTTTTAATCACACTGCACTAAAGTATAAGACATTTTCTGGTGCTCATTAAATTTGAAAGGACCGAAAAGTCGCGTATCTTTTTTTTTTGAGTTGTCACATCAACAGTAAGAAACAGAGCCGAGTTGGCTAATAGCTGGTAAGTTTACGTACTTCGCTGAACAAAAAAAAAATTTCTTACCCTGCCAGCTTTGAAAACAATTTTAAAGTCAATGAAAAGTTTATTTTTACTCCTTTTCTCTTGTTAAGAGGGATCTTATAGCTAGCTTGGTGTTGTAGAAACACGCAAACTTTCCTTGGCTTACAGCTGTGTTTGCTTTTCTGCTCGCTGTGCGAACTGATTTTGTTGTTTTTCATTTTCTATTGTGTTATTTTCTTAAGCTTGTAAGACAATCAACCAGCGAGTGTGATCTCATGGATAAATAGCTAGCGGAGAAACGTTACCTTAACAGTTAGCTTAGTAAGTTAGCGATTTAACTGTTCAGTAAATTATATTTATATATTTTTATAATTTTTTTCACAGAATGCCGAAAATGAAGTGGTCACTTCAACATGACACTATATTTGGTCGCGAACTCCTTAGTTGGGAACTTTGGAAGTACCGTTCAGGCACCAGAGAGCGGGGAAACTGTTTAGACGAAATATGCAAAATTCTGAATAACATCAAAGAGCCCCAATTTTGCGTTTCGCAAAAGGGTTTGAGGGACCGTTTGAAAATCCTGGAAAGGGATTCCAAGGCCAGGAAGAGAGAGGCCGAGAGGGGCTCGGGAATTTCCCCCGAATACCGAGAAATAGATCAAATAATGGAAGACTATATGGAGAGAAGAGAGGAGGAAGAGAAGACCAAGGAATCCCGCACTGATGTGGATCGAAACAAGGCAGATCAAGATAAAGCAGCAGGCGAGGAGATGAGGGAGAGAGCCATGGAGAGGCTAGCTCAGACTAAGAAGAGAAATGGCAAAGATGAACCACGAAAAAAGCGCCAAAAAGGTGGTGAAACCCTTGACTATCTAAGGGAGGCAGCGGAGAGGGACTCTCAGTTAAGGCGAGATGAGCTGGACATGAAGAGGAGGCAAGACGAAGCTACAGCTGCTACCCAGCAAGCATTGTTCACTCAGCTGCGGGACCAGCAACAGTTACAAGTGCAGCAACAGCAACAGCAGCAACAGCAGTTTATGCATATGATGCAAATGATGCTGAACAGCCAGCAAGCGCAAACACAAGCAGTCATTGAACTCTTAAAAAAGGGACCGTAGTTATGATCGGAGTAGTTATTGTTCAGTTTTCTTGTAAACACGCAACTTATTTTTTCGTTGTTGTTTTTGGTTTTGTAATATTATAGCATGAACAAGCAACCTTAGCATTCGATGTTGATTTTCATCACTTTATTGCACGTAGATGTTCTGGCACGCGTGTTAACACTACTATTGGCTTTACATGTGTTCTTTTTTGAACTTGAGTTCTATTGCATTTCAAATTAAACCTTCAAGCGACTAGAGTGTTTATGTTGTATAACTGGAGTATTACAAGTGTATCTTAAGCACATTATATCAAATGAAGTATTCCTCTAGAGTTGGCGGATTAACACCAAAATACTCTGACGTAACAGAACCGTATAAAATGTTTCGTGCATTCTGCATTAACGCACATGTTACATACATCTTTCCTACAGCACTCAATCCGATTTTCAGATTCTTTTTAAAATCTAAGAACTTAAAATAATTGACAATATCCCCGAATATCCACTCTACGGAAGAGCGAACTGTGCTCATTGAGGTGTTAAAATCTTGTTGAGCTGGGGTCAGGACTGCGCCTTTATAGGGCCTTTGTAGGTGTGCACGTATCGGATAGGCGGGGTCACCGTACACGCAGAGGGGAAGGCCAGTTACGGGGCAGTTAGAAAACCTTTGCAGTTCCTGCAAGAATCCGGAGGCAGCTAGCATGAAACTGTCATGGCGTCTTCCCTCAACTGGGCCAAATAGATTCCCCACTAATCCATTAGGCAAAGCGACAGCCTGAAACTTAATGGAGTGGACACGTTTATGGCCATTGTAGATGGATCGCTGGTTTTCGTTAGGCCTACAAACTGGACGTACAGTTCCATCTATGAATCCCCAGCAGTTATCTAGGGCAGCTCCTGCTTGTTGGATAGCATCAGCATACTGGCGAAGCTTGGGAGGGGATAACAAATCATGATTATACCTTGTAAGCAGATGATGCCAGCGCTCATAAATCAAGTCCATTATGTGGTTATTTATGATAGA